GCAGGCTCAGTGGCCATGGCTCACGGGCCTAGCCGCTCCGCGGCATGTGGGATCATCCCAGACCGGGGCACAAACCTGTGTCCCCTGCATCGGCAGGCGGACTGTCAACCACTGCGCCACCAGGGAAGCCCAAGAGGCCTAGCTTTTGGTCTCTCTCACCTTCCAACATGCCTTCCTCATTAAGCTTAATCATTTCTAGCTTTTGATTTAAAGCGACAAATGTGTGACTCTTCCTTTCACTTGAACACTCAGAGGCCATTGTAGGGCTCTTCACTGGCCTAAGTTCAATATTGTTGCGATTTAGGGAATAGGGAGGCCTGAAGAGAGGGAGAGAGATGGGCTGGTTTGGGGTGCTCATGGCACCCCAAAACAATGACAATAGTAACATCAAAGATCAATGATCACAGATCACCATAACATATATAGTAATAATGAAAACGTTTGAAATACTGTGAGAATTACCAAAATGTGAGGGACACGAAGTGAGCAAATGCTGGTGGAGAAACGGCGTGGATTAAACTTGCTTGACGCCGGGTTGCCACAAACCTTCAGTTTTCAAAAAACACAGCATCTGAAAAATGCAATACAACAAAGTGCCAATAAAACAAGGTATGTCTATACCCTGAACTACCAGAGAGGCTGAGAAATGTAGTCTTCACTCTAGGCAGCCATATACCCAGGTAAACATTATTATTAAAGACATATATAAATACTGGGGGCAACTGGACTACCAGACTAATTGCACTGGGTAAGGACACATACTTCTGGCGAGCCCTCCTCAGCACACCACCTTCTCCTGCTTTTGATTGGTCCAGCCCCCAGCAGTATTCCTCTTGGCTCTGCCTTTTCCAGCAATAGTGGATATGTCCTAGGGCTCGATTTCCCTCTACACCTTTCTGGGAGGAACAGCTGAGTTTGTCACAGTATAATTTATTTCTTAAGTTGTTCCCTTTCCTTCCCTAACACATATAGGCCTAACAGTATTTGTAGGATCTGATGCTTCCTTCCTTCTTTTTTTTCTTAAACTTTCTCTCCTTTCTGGCCCAGATAATGTTACCTTTCTCATCTAGATTTTGTCTAACAGGGTCTTCTGTTCTGAGAGATAAGTCACTAGGTTCTGGTCTGTCAAAGGCAACTACTGTCCAAAAAAAATCTTGAGCACTCTCACTTTTCCGAGTGAGATAATCAGCATGTATTTTCTGACTGGGCCGACAGCCAATCCAGGGCTGGATTCCATTTATCACTGCCCTGCTCACTCTCTTCTATTATGCTTCGTCTTTCTTCCTGCCCTCCTTTAGAGTCTTAATGCTCAGAATTTTTCAGGTGTGCCCACTCTGGGCACAGGCAGCACTTATGTCCTTACCTACAATCACAGCGACATCTGGACACTCATTCAATGCCCCCGCTGAACAGTCTACTTGCATTTGACTGCTATTCCCCTCTCAAATGGTCCAGACTTTCAGGTACACTTGGCACCACTGTCCCAGTCTTTAAGGTGCAATTCCCCAGTAGTTCTTCCCACGGAATCTCTTCGTGGCTCTAAGAGAGCACTTTGCCAGCAGTGGCCTGTATCCGTGCTCCCTCTGGGACAGTCAGTACAGCTTGCTGAGACTTTGCTTATATACTTGTTCAATTTCTTTGGAACTAAGTTATTATTTCTGTCCTCATGTTCCAGATGATCCCCCCCAAATATCTACCAACCTAAGAAAAAAACCTCTTAAATGAATGAAACTCCAAGTACAGTATCCTGTCTCTTTTATCTTGTCTTTCAATTTCATTTTTCCTTTAATATCTGTTGGATCTGTTCTCTAAAATCTCAACTTTATCTCCAAAAACACTTTCTCCTTCTCAAGCTTAATTACTCTTCATTTATTTTGTTCTCATCCTGTCATTCCTCCTGTTGTAAGACTGAAGCACATTCTAGAAACACCCCAGATATTCCTTGATTTTCTGAACAAATCTGATTCCTAGAGACACAAGTTTCTAGGCACAGGACTAACTTCCTTCTTGATCTTTGGTTTTAAAACAACGGTAGCTTTTTCATTAAATAAAGGCTCCCATTTATTGTTTGCTGGTTTTCAATGAAAAGCATTGTATGGGTGTCTGCACAGCTCGAGGCTTGGATTCTAAAGTGCTGGCCACAGCTCATATAATTTACAAATCCAGTCAATTTTGGATCACATGGTGGGAGATTACTCTCGAGATTCTGGACAGGCTGTACCACATGACTTCAAGATTAGTCTTGGTGCACTGCCTATATAGGCTTGCATTAACAGCTGAAAACTAGAACTTCAGACTCCAGTGCTCTCTAGTACACATGCTGTGTAAAGTACCCATTTGTAAAGAAATGATAGAATTAGAAGATCACCATTTTGCAAGCCCTAAAAAAAATTCTAGATAACATAAACCAGTGGATACTAAAATGGTTTGATGGGGAACCTTATAATGATGCACCAGACTGACAGCACCTGAACGCACTGATCAGTTGTGACATCTCTAAAACTGGTACATCAGATATCATGTGCCTGATGTGATATGAGAGAAAGCACACATCTCTTATGAATTATTTTTGTAAAAATTTTTTTGAACACAAATTTTTAATGGAGCTTCTAGATATACCAGTTTGCAGGAAAAATTGGTGATAGAAGAACATGTTAAATGACACAAAGAGGATACGCTATCCAAATTCAGAAAGTGAGAAACATGACCTAATTTCTTTAACAAGTAAGTGGCAGTTAAAATGAAAGGGAGCATAAACTGTTATACATAAGACCCTTAAGGAACACACCAACCAAATACAAAGTATGTATCTCACTAGAATCCTGATTTAAGCAAACAAAGTAAAAAGACATCTTGAAAAGTTTTTTTTAATCTATTTTTACTTATAGAAAAGTTGCCATAGTACAAAGAATTCCCACATACCCTTCACTTAGATTTCCCCAAATGTTAACATCTTATTGCATCTACTTTATCATTCTCTCTCTATATACATACCCATATTAGGGAGGTGTGTGTGTGTGTGTGTGTGTGTGTGTGTGTGTGTGTGTGTGTGTGTGTGTGTGTGTGTGTGTGTGTGGTGTGTGTGTGTTTCTTTTTTTTTTTGCGGCTGCGCTGCATGGCATGCAGGATCTTAGTTCCCCGTCCAGGGATCAAAGCCGGGCCCCTGGGTTTCCCTGGTGGCACAGTGGTTAAGAATCTGCCTGCCAATGCAGGCGACACGGGTTTGAGCCCTGCTCCGGGAAGATCTCCCATGCCGTGGAGCAACTAAGCCCATACGCCACCACTACTGAGCCTGTGCTCTAGAGCCTGTGAGCCATGACTACTGAGCCCACATGCCACAACTATTGAGGCCTGTGTGCCTAGAGCCCGTGCTCTGCAACAAGAGTAGACACCACAATGAGAAGCCTGCACACCACAACGAAGAGTAGCCCTCCACTCGCTACAACTAGAGAAAGCCCATGCACAGCAACAAAGACCCAGTGCAGCCAAAAAAAAAAAAGCCAGGGCCCTTGTAGTGGAAGCCCGGAATCCTAACCACTGGACTGCCAGGGAATTCCCCATATTAGTTTTTTATTGCCAACAAAGTGCTCCTTTATCCTTAACAACTTCAGTGTGTATTTTCTAAAGACAAGAATTCTTGTCTTTAGAATTTTTACAAATACTACAGTACAATTGCTGAAATCTGGAAATTAATATGAATACCATAACATTTACTACAGACCTTACTCAAATTTTGCTAATTGTCCCACTACTATCTTTTACAGCAGAAGAAAACTGTATTTTCTTGGTCCGGGATCCAATCCAGGATTACACAATGTGATGCCTCTCTAGTCTTCTTTAATTTGGTACAGTTACTTCAGTCTTTGTTTTTCATGACCTTGATTTTTTGAAGAGTAAAGGCCAATTATTTGTAGACTGTCCCTCACTTGGGTTTAGTTGATGTTTCTTCAGTATATTCACATTATACATTTTGGGGAAGAACCCTGAAAAGTGATGTTTTGTCTTCCTCATTGCATCTTATCAGGAGGCATACAATATTTGTCCTGTAACTTGTAATGTTGTAAAAAGACATTTCTGAGACAACTAAGGAAAACTGAAAACATATGATATTAAGAAGTTATTGTTAATTTTTTTAGATGTCATAATGGTATTGTGGTAGTTTTTAAAAAAATGGTACTCATCTGTTAGCTGTATATACACTGTAGGGGAAAGTGAAGTTATTTGTCTTGATGCCCATTTCTAGGGAGTTTAATAACTCCAGGTGGAAAGCAATAATAACAATACAGTCAGATTTTGATTTTTCCAAAATAGTGTCTGATTTGTGCATCATCCAGGACTTTGACCACTGTTCCTCTCTTCTGTGGCTCCTCTTTTGGTCACTACATTCACAGCTGACCCAATGTAGTACAGAAAGCACACGTCTGTCAAATTTTGTGACTTGCTGGATGACGAAAGCCTGTGGGGAAGAGACTGAAACTACTGGTTGAAATTAGGTTTATAAATAATTTGAACATTTCACTTCTTTGTGATTTGCCTGTCTTCCTTATTATAGATAAATATGAGTCTAATGAAATAAGATCATTTACAATGATTACATAATAAAACTTCAGAGCCCATATACAAAAAGTCTTCATTTTATTCAGTTTCTACTTTATTTTTGGGAAAAAAATTCGTTTTTTAAAAATTTATTTTGGACTTCCCTGGTGATGCAGTGGCTTAAGAATCTGCCTGCCAAAGCAGGGTACACGGGTTCAATCCCTGGTCCGGGAAGATCCCACATGCTGCAGAGCACCTAGGACCATGTGCCACAACACACAACCATGTGCCCACGCTCTAGAGCCCATGAGCCACAACTACAGAAGCCTGCGAGCCTAGAGCCTGTGCTCCGCAACACGGGAAGCCACTGCAATGAGAAGCCCGCGCACTGCAACAAAGACCCAAGACAGCCAATAAAAAAAA